CTTTGATTATTTTCAGAGCTTACACTTCGCTTTATCAGTTGTCCATCGAAAATTACATTTATGTCATCATTTCTCAATATAATTGATTTTGTGGCGATTGCGCCTTTTTTCGTGAATTTAATATGGTAGGCTCCATTTCTATATTCTACAGTTTAACAGAAAATGTTACAATATTCCAATTTTAGGGCCGATGCGTCAAAGTCCAATTCATCTATGTCTTTTGCGGTTCTTCGAGTACTTCGACTTGTTCGAGTATTTCGAATATTTAAATTGAGCAGGTACATCATAAAGCCTCTTTTGAATGTTAATGTATCAAAAACAGAAAAAGGGTTTTAAAAGTTGCTTTCTCTGAATAAATAATTTAGAAATTCAAGGCACTATATTTTTGGCATTAAATTTGTGTTACTGTTATCCTTGTCGAATACATGGGTCAGCGGCTTTTTTTGTGATTCATCCTTCTCCTTTAAATAATTCTAATTAAGAAAAAACCTAATAATATGAGAAACTGTCTACTGGACCAGTCATTGACCTTTATTCGCTTAGTGAAAGTAGCTTTTCTCGCTTGCAACATTCCCAAACTATTCTGCATCCCCGTGACCCCACCGCTAATTAGTTACTTAGAAAATCAAATTATCATATCTGTTTAATTTATTCACGTAATTGAATGACTGAATCTTTAAATTCGCTTTGAATTGATGAACTACGTTTTCGAATATCAATTTCAAAATTTCAGGCACTCAGTTGGTCTGCAGATTCTCGGGAAGACGTTTAAAGCTTCAGTACAAGAATTCTGCTTGCTCATCTTCTTTATGGTGATAGCTCTTGTACTTTTCTCATCAGGAATATATTTTGCTGAACAGGGCGAACCGTCTTCGAAATTTACCTCCATACCAGCTTCGTTTTGGTTCGTGCTGGTAAGTGTTTCTTTCAGAGGAACAATTTATCGACTAAGTAAAAATTAATTATCAACTGAAACTATTGCATTGTTCTTCCAGGTGACAATGACAACAGTCGGGTAAGCACAGGGTGTAGCGTGGTGTGATTTATTAGTATTCAACAAATATAAAGTTTTATGTGTCGTCATTGTACTGTGAAGTGTTCCAAGTGCAACTAATAATATTGGAACCTTTTATTGAGTACCAAGTGAAAAAGCATTGTTTCAGATATGGCGATCTGGTCCCATTAAGCCCTCAAGGAAAGATAGTTGGCTCAATGTGTGCTCTGATTGGAGTACTCACTCTCGCTCTACCCGTGCCCATCATCGTTAGTTTGATATATTAACTCTACGTATCAATTAACCGCTTCCATGTCTGACTGCTTACTTGACTGTCACGATGAGCTAAAAGAGCAGAGCTCAGACCTCATTTTGTATGATTTCAGATTTTTGCCGTGAATTTAAATTTGACTGATTTTCGTATAAATTCATATTTAAGCGTGCTCAGATAGTATAGTACTATAGATTGATTAGGAAGTAATTTTTTGTTTGCTAAAGGAAATTTGTATTTTCAAATATAAGTTAGTGTCGGCGACTCTAATAGGGTAACGGTCAAACTGCGAGCCGACAGCGATGCACCCTTGTGTCGCAACGCATAATCTAATATAACCAACACATCTGTTTATGGCAAAATGCCAAACTTTTCTAACT